ATTCGTGTATTCTCGCATAGCGGCATGATAGGTGCAGTGAGCGGCATGGGAATTTGAAAGTTGAGGACCAAGGTTGCAGTTCGGTATTGATAAGAATGTCACGAGCTCGGATGAGCCGGGAAGAATTAGATGTTCAGAGTAAGTTGACATTATCCTAGTGTCGCCTGGGAATGGTGTTCTGTGGAAGGAGCATTGTGTATTGATTTGCGGATTCTTGATCTGCTTTACAGAATTAGTACGGTTGGTGGTATGGATGTGCAAACATGGCTACCTGGGCAGAAGGTTGTGGGAGCGTGCCCCATAGGGAAATTGTATGAGTGTGGCATGCTAGTCACTTGATTGTTAAAGATCGAAACCAAGTACGGAGATTTTTGGTGTTATGGTTAATGTGAGAGTTTATGCCTGGAAGCTGCTCTATTCCTTTGGTTGTGAACTGTGGGGGTTGTGCCAGATTGAGACGGCTTGATTATTCGCACATGTGTTGAGGTTTCGTGTAGCTTGTGGTGTCATATGAGCAGGATGGCTCTCGAGATGCAGGTCATTTATCGCACCTTAGTCATGCTTGGGATTTGTGGCATATGGCACTATCCGTCTCCTAGAGTTGTATTTTTGCACTTAGCGTGCTTGTGGCCGATATTCGATACTCCGTAGGTAGAAGCATTTTGGCTTGATGGGTATGCCCTTATTTATGGTAATGAGTTGATCGGGTGGTACGCCGCCACGGGTACGTTATTTGGATCGGGTTGCACACCGCAACGGTATCATATTTGGATCGGGCTGCATATCGCAATAGTGTTACGTTGAGTATGGTTCCCTATATCTATTCCTACATATTTTGTTTCTCGTCCTCTGAGAAGGGTTCATAATATCTGTTTGACCATTTTATTCATTACGCGTGCTGGGTAATTATTTTCCAGAGTTCGTTCTACCTTATGCATCATATTCGAGTTGTAGCTTATCAGCGCATTGATGGCGTCATATGAGATCTGAGTCAGTGTTTGAGGTGGCTTATTGCGTGAGCAGCTTGTTCTGGGTGAGACGATATTATTGGACCTGAAATTAATGCAATTAGAATTATATAAGGTATATTAAAGAGAAAATATCGTTATTCATTTTAGAATGAGGTAACGGTTCTTGTCAGGAGGAGAGACTCCATGAATTATTGATTCGGCAGATAGGTATGAGTTTCTACACGTCTCTTTCATCGTGGCAGTATTGCGAGAGTTGAAATAGGACTTACATATGTCATGGGGTGCGTTATGGGCATCGGATTCATGAAATTGCAACTATCGTGGTCGGGGGATGTTATTATGGGCAACCGACTTATGTGGTGCATGGTGTGATTTCGGCATAGGTGCATGATCATGTTTTGGTACAGTGTGTAGTGATTGGTACGGTGTTCGTATGTTAGAATCAGGTTTTGTAGAGGAATTCGGAGGTTAGAAGTTGGTTCTAAGGCTTATTGACAAAATAAAAGGGAGGATCTTCAGTCTAACTCGAGCTAATGTGTCAAGATGGATTGTGGTGGCACGGGTAGGTGCACGAGATGTTAAACCATGATTTTGGACAACTCCGGAGCAGTCCCTAGCACGTTCGAGGAAGAACGTATGTTTAAGTGGGGGAGAATGTAACGACCCGACCGGTCGTTTTGAGATCTAGCATGTCGTTCGGCGGTTTGAAGACTTGAGTATATTCACTTCAGGTATTACGACTTGTACATGTGGTCAGAATCGAATTTCGGGAAGTTTGGAATTGATTAGGAAAGAAAATTCTAATTTCGGAAGCTTTAAGCTAGAAAAATTGGCTAAGATTTGACTTTTGAGTAAACGACCCCGGAATCAGGATTTGAAGGTTCCAATAGGTTCATATGATGATTGCAAACTTGGGCGTATGTTCGGGTTGAGTATTGGATCACCTATGAGCATTTCGGCGCGTATTATGGAAGGTTGGTATTTTAAAAGTTTAAAAAATTCTTAAGTTTGACTTGAAGTGGATTTTAATGGTATCGATGTCTGTTTGGGATTTCGAGCCTTGAAATAGCTTCGTTATGTCATTTATGACTTGTGTGTGAAATTTGAAGTCATTCCGGATTGATTTGATATATTTTGGCACAAGATATAGAATTTGGAAATTTATAAATTTGATTCGAGCAGTCAGTTCATGATTTTGATATTGTTTGATGTGGTTTAAGGCTTCGACTAAGTTCGTATTGTACTTTGAGATGTGTTGGTATGTTTGGACGGGGTCCTGGGGGCCTCGGATGCGAATCAGATTGAAAACGGATTGAGTTTGGACTTGGGAGAAATGATGAAGCAACTGGCATATGGTAAAGTCGCACCTGCGAGGTTTTGGCTGCAGGTGCGGGGCCGCAGAAGTGGCCAAGAGGGTCGCAAAAACGGCCAAGAGGGTCGCAGAAGTGATTCTGGGTGAGCTGTGCAGGAGCGCAGGTGCGAGGAAATGTCTGAACCCGCGAAGCCGCAGGTGCGGAGGGGAGACCGTAGAAGCGGAATTGGCCAAGAAGGCATGGGGTCGCAAGAGCGGACTTTGGCATGTAAGTGCGTTAGCGCAGAAGCGTTTGCTGTCCGCAGAAGCGGAAGCGCAAAAAGGCTATTTGGGCCGCAAAAGCGGAAGCTGCTGAATTGAGTTAGAGCCGCACCTGCGATGGATTTTCCACAGGGGTGGAGCCGCAGGAGCGGCTGTTGGACCGAAGGTGCGAAGGTCGGGCTGGGCAGTGTGTTTCTTTAAAATGAGGGTTTGGCTCAATTTCACATCATTTCGTCCATCAGAGCCGATTTTGGAGCACTTTTGGAGTGCCATCTTCATCAACTATTATGGGGTAAGTGCTTTCTTCACATTGTGAGTTAAATACATGGGTTATATACGGATTTAAGCATGAGAATTTATTGAAATTGAGATTTTTGGTAGAAAACCTAGAAAATTGGTATTTTTGGATTTTGACCACGAAATTGGGCATTGAATTAGGAACAAATTATATATTTGAGTTAGTGGTATTATGGGTAAGGTTTATCTTCGAATATTTTCGGAATCCGGGTACGTGGGCTCGAGGGTTGTCTTTATCCACTTTTCTAGCGGAGTTGGGCATTGTTTAAATTGATTAATTATGGGTATTAGAATACATTTTGATTAGGTTGCACATAGTTTGAATAGTTTGGGTCGACGGGCTTTGGTTTGAGGTGTTAGAGAGGCTTTGGAGCCGGTTATGGAACTTTGGAGCGAGGTAAGTCTCCTGTCTAACCTTGTAAGAGGGAAACTACCCTCCTAGGTGATAATTATTGTTATGTGCAACTAGTTGTGGGTGCTACGTACGCACGAGGTGACGAGAGTCCGTACGTAGCTAAAACATGTTTATGTCCGGGTAGACTTAGGATCTTATCCTGTAATATTTTAATTATTTGAACTCATTCTGCTGGCTTAATTAATTAATGTTATAACTCAATTTGATTTAGAAATAAATGTATGTATAATAGGCCGAGCCCTAATACTTTGAGTTGTGGGCGAGTTATTTGAGAAGCGTAAAGATTATATTTGTTATGTGCTTATGTACTGTATCGTAAACACGTGTCTCGTAATTCGGTACCTTCCTTCCTTTTTGTTATGGAGCGGGTTGAACGCCTCGGCAGTATATTGATGCATCTATGGTTCGTGTCGCATGACCCTCGGCAGAATCGTGCGTTATATCGCTAGTAGTCTGAGTATTCACGAGCTAATCTCTCTACTGATGGCCGGCATATATATGGTATTCCTTAGTAATTTGATAATGACACTTGGCATTTTCTGAGCTATTAATATAGAATACAAGATTTAGAAATTTTTGCTTTAAAAGAAGTAATTGGAAGATTATGTAACTTACAGATTTACCTCATCATTGCCGCATGCCTCATATATGCTTATGTTTTATTTTATTGCTTTAATTGGACTTTTAGTAAGTGTCGATATCGGCCCTTCGTCACTACTTCTCCGGGGTTAGGCTAGATACTTACTGGGTACACGTTGATTTATGTACTCATGCTGCACTTCTACACTAAATGTGCAGGATTTGACAGGTTCATTGATGATCACCTTAGTGCGTAGGCGCACCTGTTGAGGAGACTTCACGTGAGCTGCACTCTAGTCTACACATCACAGACCACCGAGTCTCTATTGTACTATTTATTTTATTCTGTCTTATTACATTCGGAACAGATGTTGTATTATTATTGTACTCCTTAGAAAAATGCTCATGCACTTGTGACACCGGATTTTGGGGGTTACTACAGGTTGTCCATTATTGTAGTTCGTGAAAATTCTATTTCATGCTATTTAATTAGTAAAAGTTATGATTTTAAAGTACTAGAATGAGTAATCAAATTGATCAATCACAGTTGGCTTGCCTGACGGCGGTGTTAGGCGCCATCATGACCTACAATGGATTTTGGGTCATGACAATGGTCATCCCTCTCACTATGACCATCTTAGATCCTTTGGGTGCCTTTGTTATTCTACTTCAGCAAAATCCGGGCAGTCAAGAGCCATTACTTGCATTTTCCTTGGCTATCCTTGTGGGAAGAAAGGCTACAAGTTACTCACTATCTCCAATCATGTTATCCTTTACTCTAGAGATGTAGTCTTCCATGAACACGTGTTTCCTTATTCTTCTCATTCCTCACAAATATTTCCACCTTCTCTTCCTCCTTTTGTAGACTTTTCCCCCCTGCTCCTTCTCCTACCTTTGTGCCTACTCCTCCTCTTGTTCCTTCTTCTACTATTAATTCCTCTCCTCCCTTTCCACCTAATGCACATCCTATTCCTTCTGCTTCTCTTCTTATCAAACATTCATCTAGAATTAGTAATCCTCCACCTCACTTAAAAGACTATATATTCCCATATATTGTCCTAAGGTTCCTGCATCCCTTGCTTCTAAAGTCACCTCAGCTGAACTGCACATGCATGAGCCCTAGTTTTACCAACATGTTGCATCCCACCCTGCTTGGAAGGAGTCCATGCTAAAGGAATTTAAAGCCTTAGATGCAAACTACACTTGGGATATTATTCCTCTTCCTCCTCACAAGAAGCCTATGCCTTGCAATTGGGTATACAAGATCAAACAGAGGTCTGATGGGTCCATTGAAAGGTATAAGTCTAGACTAGTAATAAAGGGTGACACTCAGAAAGAAGGCATTGATTACACTGAAACATTTTCTCCTATGGTCAAGTTCACCACCATCAAGTGCCTTCTCATTATTGATGCCAAGAGGCATTGGACTGTTTATCAACTTGATGTCAACAATGCTTTCTTACATGATGATCTCCATGAGGATATATGAAAATCCCACATAGATTGCAGCTATCTTCTTCTTCTCCATTGGTTTGCATGCTCAGAAAGTCTTTATATGGCCTTAAGCAAGCCTCCAGAAAATGGTTTTCTAAGTTGTCTGAGCCCTTGCTCAGTAGAGGCTACATTCCAAGTAAAAATGACTATTCTTTGTTCCTCAGGTATTATGTTAATTCACTCACAGTCCTGGAAGTATATGTTGATAACATTCTCTTAGCTGGAAGTTACTAAGTGTCCTGCAAGTTTTCTCATGAGTCAACACAAGTTCACCTCTTATATTCTTTCAGAGTTTCACTGCCAGAATTTTACTCCAGTGGTCCCTCCTCTAGATGGTTCTGTCAAGTTATTAGCTGATATGGGTGAGCCTCTATCTGATCCTAGCACTTATAGAAGGATAGTTGGTAAGTGATGACGTCTAAATACACTACTAAAACGTAAATGGACACGGTCGCATGCAATATAATTTACCCAACTATGAATAGGGGTCGAATCCCACAGAGAATAACATGTAGGCGATTAGGCGTGTAAGAGAATTATCACTTATTATGTTAAGCCAAACACTTAGAAAAGTTTTGATAAAATATTTAATAACGAATTGCGAAAATATAAACTAACCTAGAAAGCAAGTAAAATGATCAATGGCTACAAGCATGGATACATGGAGAATTACACTCAAGTAACGATCCAATGTATTTCATGATTTTACAAATATGAGCGAGTTTATGTTAATTAGCCTCGGGTAATAATTCTATATTAGCTTCTTCCGAAGACTAGAAATACTTCCTAATTGAATTATCCCTAAAATAATTAAGAGATTAAGCACACCCGAATATGGCTACAAGTAGTTCAATCTTATCCCTAGGTAGAATCTATAAAATGAGGGTTAACGCCTCAAGTTCTTGTTAATTAATCTTTTCCATCCCTAAATTATCTTTTCCAAAATTAATTCGAAGTAAATGGGTGAGTCCTAGGGTTAGCTAATCCCTTTGGAAATATTAAAGAACAAGAATAATTAAAGAAACAATAACTCACTTCATAATAAATAAAAATCGTTCAATACATAAGCACAACAAGATATTTAATCCACACTTTAAACACAAATATTCCCATAAACAAGATTCAACTGTTGAAAAAAATACTACACACTTAGATATACAATACAAAGCAAGAAAATGAAGAAATAAACATAAATGGGCAAGAAATTCTCAACCAAAAGCTTCAAATCTTCAAGTCCCAAGTGTGTGTGCAAGAATCCTAGCTCCAATACTTGTGTTCTCTAGTCAAGAGACTGAAAATAAGCCAAAAGATCTATTTTCAATCAGCTAGGTCGTGTATTTGTGGGTTTGGAATGAAGAAAATGTGAAATGACATAAGTGTCCAGGTCTGAAGCTCGTTGACCGCACCTGCGGAAAAATCTTCGCAGGTGCGGTTCCGCAGGTGCGAATGCCTGCTCGCAGAAGTGATGATGGTGGAAAATTGATGTTCCGCAGAAGCGGTCCAAAGCATGCAGAAGCGTGTACGTATAAGTGATCTTCAAGCGCAGAAGCACAGACGCAAATGCGAATATTTACACGCAGAAGCATAACCGCAAAAGCGGTTCTCCACTCGCAGGTGCGAGTTCTGCCTTGCATGCCTTATGCTGCATCTGCGGACCAGTTCTCGCAGATGCGAGATGGGTCTTCGCATAAGCAATTACACTGGAAGGTTTTACCCTTCTTTCATTCTTTTTGCACGATTCCACTTTATTTAATTTCAATTCTCTTCGACACTTAAATTACCTGAAATTCTAGTAATGCATACCATAAATCACCCCATTTTATAATTAAAGGACACAAAAACTAAAGAAAATAGACTAGAATAAGTTGTAAAATCACCACTTATCAGTAAGCATAATTTTCTCCAACACACGCGACCTGACATTGCCTTCTTAATGCAACACCTTAGCTAGTTTCTCCAGGCTCCCCAAGTTCCTCACATGCTTGCTGTTATCCATGTTCTAAGGTTCCTGTCTGCTGCATCTGATTTGGGGATTCTTCTTTCTCCTGGTGATGATTTTTCCATCAACACTTACTCTGATTCAGACTGGGAAACCAGTGCTCAGTCCAGGAAAAGTGTTTCTGGCTATTTTATCACATTTGGGGGTTGCCTAGTTTCTTGGAAGAGTAAGAAGCAGCAAACCGTCTCCCTTTCTTCTACTGAGGCTGAATATAGAGCCCTTCGTTAAGTGGTTGCTAAGGTTTCATGGTTAATCACATTGCTTGGTGATTTTGGTCGACCAATCTCTGGTCATGTTCCTACTTTTTATGATAACTAGGTTGCTCTACACATTGCTAAGAATTCGGTATTCCATGAATCCACCTAATACATCGATATAGATTGTCATTATGTGCGGTACAATCTCATTTCTGGTTTTATTTCACTTCATAATGTTGCTAGTGCTGACCAACTTGCTGATATCATGACTAAGCCACTTATAGGACTTTCTTTCTCCCTTAAGCTGGAACATAGTAAAAAACAACCCCACTCGTCTCCACAATACCCATCGTGCGGAGAATGTGGTGGCACTCCTCTAGAAAACCTTATGCACCCTCTGAATCCAAACCACTAAAAGTAGGAGGGTCATACTTTTTTAACCTTGCAAGTCGAAGCCGTTTTCCTCAGATGATGTGGCCCTAACCATGGGCTGAACTGGGACCACAGATTGAGTTGTCATGACACCTAGAACCTGACCAATGTGGACTCGCTGCTCTGGAGTATGGGCGGTGGGAGTCTGAATCCCTCCCCCAATCTGCAAAGCAGCTGGTGCAACCGGAATCAACCCAGCCTGAGACAATGTACCATACATGCTCAAGAATTGTGCTAAAGACTCCTGGAGTTCGGGGGTAACTGCAGGCGCCTCCGGTACCTGTCTCCCAACCGGAGCTACTGGCGACTCCTTAACTGCTACTCTGGTAGGTGCCCTAGCTGCGGCACGTGCTCCTCTTCGGCCTCTGTCTCTACCCCTAGTGACACCTGCCCCGGGGGCGGCGTCATCAGTAACTATAGCTCGTGTCCTCACCATCTGTGAGAGAATAGAATGGTAAAAACTCAAACTTCGGGATCAATAAACTCGCAGGATAAGAAGTGAAGAAGTAAAACTGTCCTAATAGTTCCGTAGACTCTCGAAAATAAGTACAAACGTCTCTTTACCGATCCGCAAGACTCTACTAAACTCGCTTATGACTCGTAGCATTTATGAACCTAGAGCTCTGATACCAACTTGTCACGACCAGAATTTCCCTCCGTAGAATTTTGTGATGGCACCTAGTCTCTAAGACTAGGTAAGTCTAACACTTACTGAATTAATAGAAACATTTGACCAATAATTAATAGTTAGGAAGTAGAACCTTATTACCAACTTACAATTCCCAAAATTGGTAGTACAAGCCATAAGCTCTACTGAGTTGCTACAAAATCCTCTAAATACAACTATTTCGAAATAGAAAATACAGTTCAAGTACAATAACAGAAGGTGACTCCGAGGCCTATGAACGCAACAACAGGTTTACCTTGAGTCTCCTCAGCAAGATCCGTACAGCTAGCTAGCAATCGACTGACTTCGAATTACCTGGATCTGCATAAAAATATGCAAAAATGTAGTATGAGTACACCACAGCGGTACCCAATAAGTATCAAGACTAACCTCAGTGGAGTAGTGACGAGGGACAGTCAAGACACCTATTGGACTAGATAACCTGAACAAGTATAGGTATAGAACTAACAGAGTATGATATCTCTACAAAACTATGCATAATGACAACAATAATACGGTGCTTGCAGTAGGAAATAGAAGCAATAATTTGTAGCGGGAAACCACAAGTAATAACACAGTAGAGTAAGTCGAACACACTTTAAATCCAATGAAATACAAATAAAGGAAAAACAAGTAGCAACTTGATAAGAATAACTGCTTTCGCACCAGGTTTATTCAATAATCCCCATGAGGTACCAAACCTCAAAACTCACACAATTCACGGGTCCCAAATTCATGAACCCTAATCATTTGGCATCCCGTGCCCTCATTACAACTGATAACTGCACGGACGACTCATATGCCAATAGAACCAATCTCACATATAAGACAAGTAGACGGAGTACGTACAAATGATTGGTAGCATCAGGGTTCATCTTCTTAAACCGATAGGGTGATAAAGTACGTATATGCTTGTGCAAGTGTTCTACCACAGTTCGGGCCAATGAATAAGAGTAGAGAAAAATGAACGATACATAAGGAACGATCCCCATAATTTGCACCAAGTAAAACTTACACAGGTTAGGCACGCCACTACACAAATATCAACAATAACAATGCCCCTAGACCATCACAAGTTATCACAAATCTATCCCCGACATAGCTCATCTTATCTCGCCACGTGCGCAATAATAAAGTAAATGCCTACTGTGAGCACCTGGTTTTTGCCCCACATATGAAATTACTCCTAAAAAATAATCCAACAATAATTTCAATTGTTTTATGAACTTTAGGAGTTTTTCTTTATTTGTTTTATATTTATTCGCATTGTTTATGCATGTTAGGAATATCGTAAATCATAATAATCATAAAAATATTCAAATCTTAATTTCATAGCATTTTAGATTTTAAATTATATTTTTAGGATTTAATTACATTGTTACATGCATTATTTAAATATCTAAAAACCAAAAAAATGCATTCTTATACTAGTTAATTAATTAGGTCATTAGGCAATTAGTGAGTAAAATATATATAATAGTTTAGCCACACAAATTGGTTTAGTCAAGCCCATCCCTTTAGAAGCCCAATTTCCATGACCCACCTGGCCCAACCGGATCCCCTTCTGTGAGAAAACCTATCTTCCCCCATCCAAAAAAAAGGACTTAGCAGCCACCCCCACCTCTCGGATTCTCAAGATCAGAGATAGAGAACAGATCTCCCCCAAAAGACTAACCTTAGTCAGTCGCCGCCCCCTCCCT